TGAATCGATACAAGAAAAATTCTTATATAAATCGTTGCCTTCAGACTTTAATTCCTTCAAAGCTTTAGCTTTTTTTTCTCAAATTTTTTACCTTCTTTACCTTTTTTTTTTTATTTTATTTGCGAGCATTGTAAAAATCTATCGCAGTCATTGTAGTATTTGACCTTTGTTTTTATACCCAAAGATATTTAAACCATGACACGTACCAATGCTACTTCAGCGTGTTTTTTTTGTAAAAAAAGACACCAAAAATGTTTAAGACTTTCTGAGGGAAGTCTTTGTACAAATTGTCAAAAACATAACCATGAATGTATTCCCGTTCCAGGGAACAAACGTGGACCAAAGCCACGCGGACTTAGATCTAGGTCTGCCAATTTCCAACCTTATCCCTCTTATGGAACTATTCAAAATACATTTGTTAATCAAGATGAATCAACGCAAAACAATCCTAATTTTAGTTATTCACACGAACAAAATTCATTTTCTAGCGATTCCGCTCTCAATATTAACCCTTTTGAGATTAGCATTAATCAATTTCCCTTATTTTCATCGCCTTCATCCTCTTACATTCACGATGAAGAGACAACATCCTCCTTTTTCGAAATTCAGTTTCATTCTCATAATAATACCATTACTACTACTTACAACGTTAACCCTTATGGGACTGTTGATACATTTCACAATACGTTCCCTTTTATTCACAATGAGCAAACGCCAAATCATGAACAAACATCTTCTTTCATTAACAAATAAAGTCATGTCATCCTCTAATTCTTTTTTCTTAATTATTCAAATGATTTTTTCTTTTTAGTAATTCCGTATCTTATATCATTACTACATTAACCCCTTACAAGATATATTTATTGACCAACCCTTCTCATTATCCACCATTATTTCTACTTCCTCAATGTTAACTTCGTCAATCTTATCTTGTCACGAAGAATCAATGATCCTTCAATCATTGGTCTATCTCAAGATATCACAAAAATATGCCACATGATATTTATTTATTTTTTTTTTTTGTTATACTTTTCTTTCTACTTATTCGTTACAAACATTTTTGTTTTTATTACAATTACTTCCTTCACGAACATTTTATTCCCTTAAATGGTTTTTTTAGAAAATTTTA